AGTCCCCACGCCTGGGTGGTGGGAGCAGCGGACAGAGGCGCCTGGTGACCAGTAACACCTGGGAGACCAAGTGCCCCTGCTCCCCACCCACCGAAGCGGGCGGCAGGGAGGGCTGGAGGGCGCGGGCTGGAGGGCGCGCGGCGGGGAGGGCTGGAGGGCGCGGGCTGGAGGGCGCGCGGCGGGGAGGGCTGGAGGGCGCGGGCTGCGCTGTGGGGAGAGCTGAGTCGCTGCCATTGAAAGGGAGGAGTTTGCCACCTTCAGGCCTCGGCTCGGCCCTCACCCCCTCTGAACCGGCCAGCCGGGTGGGCATGCAGTTGGTGCTCACTAGGTGCGCGCTGTACCTGCACAGCTGTGTCCTGGGAGCAAACTACGGCACCTGGGCCGGCACCGGGCGGTGAGTGGGCACGGGGCGGGGGGCTAGAGCATTCGGCTGCCGGGTGCCAAGCGGCCAGCCCAAATCTGGTGGCTCCGCCATGGGCCTTGGTGGGTGCTGGGCCCGCGGCCTCCCGAGGGGGGACGGCCTGTGCAGGGACGCAGCGGCCCCGCCACCCGCTCCCTGACCAGAATTAGGGCTCAGACGCACTTCCCAGAGCAGCGCTGCCCAGCCCAGTGCGGCCCATGGCCCGTGGAGGCGGGCGGATTCGAGAATGTTAACTGAAGTTTTGTGTTTCTTACGGTTCTAGGGGCCTCGTATAGTTTATAAATACGTTCTGTGACATGTTTATGCATTTCAGTTCTCTGTTATCTTTTGGAACTTGGCTATTTTCTCATCTCTCTTCATATTATTACTTTAACCATTTCCCAGTGGTTTCTTCCTCAGTGTCCAGCTGTCCTCTGGGAGCCTGTGCGGACCCAGTTCATGGCCTTTCAGCTTCCTCCACGTGAATCACAAGAATTCTCGGTCACGGGGGCATCAGGGGGGCGTAGCCCAAAAAGGTGGGGACCACTGCCCTTGCCGACCTCACCTCTCCGCAGGCGACCTCCGACCTCTCACCTGCAGACTGGGAGTCCCCAGCAGGACCATGACGTCGTCGATGAGGCCCAGCAGGGTCATGAACACAGGGTCTTGGTAGTCAAACCGCTGGCCGAAGAGGAGCGTGAAGGTGACGTTGGAGGGAGCCCAGCCCAGCAGGGCCAGCGGGAAGGGCCGGCCTGTGGGGGAGACAGGCCTCAGCGGGGAGGGGCCCCGGGGAAGGGCCCCCCGGCCCTCACTCACCTCCGTGCTG